TACACCCCCCCCCCACACACACACACACAGTGATAATCTCACTAAGGTTCCTCCTTGTGGCTAAATCCATTAGGCACGTTCCCACCCTCTGCTTGCTAACAGCTCACTTGGACATTCTCTCCTGGGCTTCCAAGACATCTTGCCCTCCTCCTCCCTGGTTGTCACTCAGGGCTCCTTTCACCCCTGCAGAATGGAGTCTTCAGAGCTGTCACTGAGCCTCTCACACAGCACACACTCCCTGGGTGGCCTCATCCTTGGCCTCCAGCTCCAGCGCCAAGACCCAAAGTGGAAATGCCTCCTGGGCATCTCTCCCCTTGTGCCTCACATAAGCTCATCAAGTCCAGAACCAGCTTGCCTCCTGTTCTCTCCCTGCTGGTGGCTGCCTCGCTGTCCACCCAGTGACCATCCATCACCCCCATCACGCCCTCCTCCCATGTCACTGGTGAAGCCAAGCGATTCTACCATGGCCATCTCTAGCCTCGCTGAACTAACTGTGCCTTCACACCTCCACACCTCTGCACCTGCCTGGTAAGCTCTTCCTGGTAAGCACCTGCCTGGTAAGGTCTGGGCTCAAAGCTCGCCTGTGTCTCACCTCCAGCCCTCATAAGAGCTGGCTCCCCTTTCTAGGAGGCCCCCATGGGACCAGCTCCCTTGACCTCATCCCCTTTTGCCCAGCTGCATTTCCCATGTGCCTGGGAGCCCTTTGAGGGGCAGGGTGCTGTCCTAGGTACCTGTGTCCATGTGTTTTGTGCACATGGGCCCTCAGTTCTGCTCATTAAAAGGCTGGGTGATATGAAACTGGAACAGGGCAAGTCCTACCTAGAGGCTGTGAGAGATGCATCATGACTGAGGCCGTGTGGCTGGGATTCCAGCATGTGTGCACCTCTGACCACATGGCCAAAGTCCTGGCTGTCACTTCAGAGAAGCATCTCTGTGTGTCACCCATTCATGATTTCTGTTGGCACCTGCAATAGGGGCTCCAGGTCCAGCATGGGCTGCTGGACCATTGCTGCTCTGAGATTGAACCTGTCCCCCTAGGGCTCCTATCACCTGGAGGCCTAGGTGGGAAGGGTGCCTCCCCCCAGCAGGTGGCCACTGCAGAGGAGGGACCCAGCCAACATTGCCTCACATCTGTGCTACAAGTTGGCCTGTCATCCCTGAGCCTAGTCCCTGCCCCTCCTGAAGAAATGAGGACATTTTAACTGGGCCAAGGCATGGCATTTGAGAAGAGAAAAATAGTTAAACGATCTAAAGAACCTAGAACCACACAGAGAAGGACCCTCAAAGGCCTCCCCTGTCAAACCCTGCATTTCCCTTCTGCAGACCCTTCCCCCTTTGTAATTTGGGGGGGATGTCATCTCTACTGTGCTATAAGCTCCATGGGGCAGGAACCAGGCTCATCTGTTCCTGACATACCCCACCTCCCAACACAGGGCAGCACATGCAAACACGTTTAGAGTGAATGAGAACATTTTTGACGGAGAGAATAGGAACAAAGAACTAGCTGATGCCACTGAGCCTCAGAGTTGACCCTGGGCTAGAATCCAATACCCTCCCTCTTACAAACTCAACAACTGAGGCCGGGAGGGCAACAGTGAGCAAGGTTCTGGCTACAGGTGGGTAAGCCCCTCACAGGCTGCATCATTTCCTCTCCTCTCACCCCCTGTGGCACAGACGTACATATTAAAACCCCTTGCCCTACATGAGGAAATTGTTTCAGTGGTTAAATAACTTGCCCAAAGTTACCTGCTGTATCAGGCAGGATTAGAATTCGGTCTGTTTCCAAGTCCCCACCCACCAGGCCCCTAGGAATCAGGTCTGGAGGGAAGGGAAGGGGGCAGAAGGATGCGGGCTGCCTGAGGACTAGGGGATACCAGGGGTGGGGTGACTTCCCTAACTGGGTGGACCACTACAATGGACCAAGGCGCCGGACTTGGTTTCAAGCCCTCTATCCAAGCCTGGCTATCAGAGGCAAGAAGCGGGGACCTCCCCACCCCCACTAGGAGCCCTTCTTCAGGCTGAGCCAAGTTAGTCCCAGGTGGTTTTTCTAGGGAAAAGGCCCGGCAGGGGCCAAACGGGGAGGGAGGGGCTGCGGGCGCAGCGAGGACCACTGACGCACAGCTTCAAACGGCGTGCCTCCGCCGGCCTGCTGGGAAACGGAGCCACGCAGACCAATCGGACCGGAGGCGGAGACCGGTTGGCTCCCTAGCTCGCTGGGCAGGCGGGGAGCCTGGGAAGGAGGAGGGAAGGGCGGCAACGGGGCGCGGAGCCAGCCTGGAGACCAAGCCCTCTTAGCCCCACCCGAAGCAGCCCTGGCGGGGGCGTTGCCCCAGCCCCCCTCCAGGGCCCCGTGCATGTTGGGGACCCTCCACGTGACTTGGTGATGCAGAACGGTTATGACCTTCAGCTTCATCGTGTGTCTGTGAATGCGAGGGTCCCAGCAACAGGGCGGGTTTGCGCCCGGCCCTGCCTGTGGGTGCTGGGACGTGGGTGTGTGGGCATGTGTGGGTGTGTTGGGGAGGGCGCCCAGCGACATGTGACAAAGACTCCTGTCTCTGGGAGATGGTGAAGGGGCCCTGGAGCTGGCGCTTTGTCTGCCTGTCTGCAGAGTGACGGTTCGCGCAGCGGCAGCGGGCGCCTGTGCGGTGCAGGATGCCGGGGCGCCAGGGTGTCCGGGGGCGCGCGTGCCTGTGCCAGGGTGAGTGCGCTGCGGCAGGGCCCGGGAGCGGTACCGTGGGCCAGAGACAGCCTGGGCCTCGGGCGTGACCTGGAGCCACCCGTGGGCGCTGCAGTGGCCTCGTGTCCCCGTGACCTCGGGAGCCGGGCCGGGGTGGATCCCCACGCACCCCTCCCCGTCCGCCCTCCACGTGCGTGTCCGCGGCGCGCGCGTGCTCGCTGGCGCGCACTCGCCTGCTGGTCGCCACCGCCGTGAGCCGTGCTGAGAAAAGGTGCCGGAACCAATTGAGCTGGGGCCGGGGGCCCGAGCGCCATGGGCCAGAGGGCGAGCAGTGGGCGGTTGGTCAGCCCCGGGCCTCACCCCCGCGGGAGAGCTGCCTGGAGTCGGTGGGGGCCGGCCAGACCCGCGGGGAGGCCGGCCCATGCCCCCTGAACTACGGATACCAGGTGAGCACCCCCTCCTCGGGGCACAGCGCGGGGGCTGGCTTGGGAAGGATGTGCACCAGAGAGGGATTTTAGGGGTGGCTTCCCTGGTGGGGGAGGGGATGGCACGTAGGTGGGGTGGGGGTACTGGCGATTTTAGGGACGCTAGGGAAAGGAAGTTCCGGGACCCTCCCTGCTCTCATGCCCACCTCTGCTTCCTGCCTCAAGCCTCACCTTTTCCCCAGAGCCTGGACTCCCCTTAACTGCCGGGGAGATGTGACCTTTACTCTGGGGGGCTGGTCCAGTAAGCCCCAGCCTTCCCTCATCCCTGAGGAGCCCCTTGGGCTTTTGACTGACTCTCCCCCCAGGCCAGGCTCTGGAAGCTGGCCCCTGGGACTGGGCCCTGGGCACCTGCACCAGCCCCACCTGTGCCTGGGCTTTGGCCCTTCCCTACAGGGCACTGACCATGGCCCCACCACTCCTGCTGCTGCTGCTGGCCAGTGGAGCGGCTGCCTGCCCACTGCCCTGCGTCTGCCAGAACCTGTCCGAGTCGCTCAGCACCCTCTGTGCCCACCGAGGCCTGCTGTTTGTGCCGCCCAATGTGGATCGGCGTACAGTGGAGCTGCGGCTGGCGGATAACTTCATCCAGGCTTTGGGGCCACCAGACTTCCGCAACATGACGGGGCTGGTGGACCTAACACTGTCCCGCAATGCCATCACTCGCATTGGGGCCCGCGCCTTTGGGGACCTCGAGAGCTTGCGCTCCCTGCACCTGGATGGCAACAGGCTGGTGGAGCTGGGCACTGGCAGCCTGCGGGGGCCTGTCAACCTGCAGCACCTCATCCTGAGCGGCAACCAGCTGGGCCGCATTGCACCAGGGGCCTTTGACGACTTCCTGGACAGCCTGGAGGACCTGGACCTGTCCTACAACAACCTGCGGCAGGTGCCCTGGGCCGGCATTGGTGCCATGCCTGCTCTGCACACCCTCAACCTGGACCACAACCTCATTGATGCACTGCCTCCAGGCGCCTTTGCCCAACTCGGCCAACTCTCCCGCCTTGACCTCACCTCCAATCGCCTGGCCACACTGGCACCTGACCCACTCTTCTCCCGGGGGCGCGACTCCGAGGCCTCGCCTGCCCCCTTGGTGCTGAGCTTCAGTGGGAACCCCCTGCACTGCAACTGTGAGCTGCTGTGGCTACGGCGGTTGGCCCGGCCCGACGACCTGGAGACATGCGCCTCCCCACCAGGCCTGGCTGGCCGCTACTTCTGGGCAGTGCCTGAGGGCGAGTTCTCCTGTGAGCCACCCCTCATCGCCCGCCACACACAGCGACTCTGGGTGCTGGAGGGCCAGCGGGCCACACTGCGGTGCCGGGCCCTCGGAGACCCTGCGCCCACCATGCACTGGGTTGGCCCTGATGACCGGCTGGTAGGCAACTCCTCCCGAGCCCGAGCTTTCCCCAACGGGACCCTGGAGATTGGGGTGACGGGCTCTGGGGACGCAGGGGACTACACCTGCATTGCCACCAACCCTGCTGGTGAGGCCACAGCCCATGTAGAGCTGCGGGTGCTGGCCTTGCCCCATGGTGGGAACGGCAGTGCTGAAGGGGGCCGCCCTGGGCCCTCGGACATTGCTGCCTCAGCCCGCACTGCTGCCGAGGGCGAGGGGGCACTAGAGTCTGAGCCAACCGTGCAGGTGACAGAGGTGACTGCCACCTCAGGGTTGGTGAGCTGGGGACCTGGGCGGCCAGCAGACCCCGTGTGGATGTTCCAAATCCAGTACAACAGCAGCGAGGATGAGACCCTCATCTATCGGTGAGGATGCACTTTGCTCCCCTCTGCTCCACCCCTCCAGGGATGGGCCGCCTTGCTGGCTCCTCTGTCCTTAAGGCTTCCACACACCCCTCCTCAGCTTCTGAGCTGCCTGGGGGTCTTGAGCTGTAGGTAGGGAGAAGGGAGGGTCAGGCACCAGGAAGAGGTGGGAAGTGCTGGGAGGAGGCGGGTGGTGCCCCCCCAAGTCTCTCCCCTGTGGCTGAGCCACTGGAGGCCTCCAGGCTGGTGTGTGATTAAGCACATAGCCAGCCCCACGCACACATTACTTGTCTCCGGTGATGTGATTCTCTACCCGTCCTTAGCTTGCCCTGGGCCTGTGTCAGGTTACACACCTGTCTGTCCCCCTGCACTGTCTCCAGTCCCCCCCCCCACACACACACACACGCATGCCTGTCTTGGTTTTTCTGCCTTCCTGAGTGAACACACAAGGCCCTTGTGGTCCCAGGGGAAGAGGGTGTTAAGAACCTGGGAACACAGGTGAGGGTGGTGGGAGGTGGGCATGAAGGGGTTTCAAGGCCATGTGGGGTGGGGCCAGGGCCTGGACACTGAGGCCTGGGCTCTGACCACCAGACCTTGCCTGCAGGATCGTCCCAGCCTCCAGCCACCACTTCCTGCTGAAGCACCTAATCCCTGGTGCCGACTATGACCTCTGCCTGCTGGCCCTGTCACCTGCCGCTGGGCCTTCCGACCTCACGGCCACCAAGCTGCTGGGCTGTGCCCACTTCTCAACGCTGCCAGCCATGCCCCTGTGCCACACCCCGCAGGCCCACATGCTGGGCGGGACCCTGACTGTGGCCGTGGGGGGTGTGCTTGTGGCTGCCTTACTGGTCTTCACTGTGGCCTTGCTGGTTCGGGGCCGGGGGGCTGGAAATGGCCGTCTTCCCCTCAAGCTCAGCCACGTACAATCCCAGACCAATGGAGGCCCCAGCCCCACGCCCAAGACCCACCCGCCGC